CCCTGAAACTTTTTAATCATGTTACCTGCCTATGGGAATGAGTTCAGAGAAATGTTTCTGGTTCACATGGAAGAGATTCTCGTGTAAATAGTTATATGGATTTTACCCCATAGCTGCTGCCAGGCCTCATGGGCGTCTCTGTCTTGGAGCATCAGATCTGGCATGTTTTTCTCGCACAGCATTTATCAGGGCCCCCAACCACCTGCTGCAATTGCAAATAAAAAAACGCATTCAGCGTCGAGGTCGACACGGCCAGTCGCCATTGTTGCCTTCTCCATCGCGTCGTGTTCTTCTCCAGCCTGGCGGCTCGGCCTCATCCTGGTCCAAGTCAGCCTCTGACCATCTTGGTCAACACTGGGCCCGCATGTGCAAGACAAGCCCATGACCACCATCAACACAATCATCTCACCATCCTTTATTTTTGGAGGGAAAATCACCACACAACACAAACTTACCGCGATGGTAACTTTGAATTGACGACCGGACTCTGGGCACGATCCTTATCCTCTAAGAACCGTCGATAGGCATCTGATCGGCCAGTGGACGGTTCAGGTGTAGGGACCAAACCGAGCAGAAGAGGCTCCAAGGGCAGATGAACTTGGTATATCTTCATGTCAGTAGCTTATTAGTATACTGTTGCCGTCGAAGACCTAATTAACGTCAAGCACTCCTTGGACTGGATATGGGAAAAGTCACTACTAGTCAAAGAAAGCTCTATTACTTAATGGTGTAGGCCCTGTTGAATTAGGCAGCTGCTTGGTGGTTCAACTGTGTCTCTTTCACGGAATGATCATCGCAAGGATTGTCAATCCACTCGTATCCTGCTATAAATCGACATCTTATCATAAATCGACCAGGAATGAAAGATCCGTCCAGATTCTTCTTTATAGCTGCAGTGTGTGCGACTTGCGGTAAACGTCTTACTTTTCCTGGCCGACGTGTTCCATGTTATATAGATGAGTTGCAAGCCCTCATATGTGTACAAGTTGTTGTGGAGATACATCTTGGAGGAGAAGAAATACAAGAGATAAAAGAAGATAAAGATTACATGAGTATCTTGTCTAACTACTCCTCATACGGTTGGCAAGGATCTCCTCTCCTCGTACGCAAGGGTATACGTGCAGAATATGTCGCGTTTAACACCCTCCCTTAATCACAACTTCATCAAGTTGAGATTATGCTTGAAGTCCTCGAAGCTTCTTGTGGGTAGAGCTTTGGTAAAGCCATCCGCAACTTGGTCTTGAGAGTGAATAAACCGAATATCCAAAAGTTTGTTTGCAACTCTTTCTCGAACAAAGTAAAAATCTATCTCAATGTGTTTAGTTCTGGCATGAAAAACTGGATTTGCTGACAAGTAGGTGGCACCTAGATTGTCACACCATAAACATGGAGCTCTAGTGTTTTTCATACCTAGTTCCTTTAGAATTGACTGCACCCATATGATCTCTGCTGTTGCATTTGCCAATGCTTTGTATTCTGCCTCTGGATCTTGAAACTGTGGCTTGCTTCCTTGCACTCCAAGATATCAAATTAGGTCCAACGAAAACTTCAAAGCCACCAGTTGAACGTCTGTCATCTGGACAGCCAGCCGAATCAGAGTTAGAGAAGGCACTGATAAGTGTAGAGGATGCCTTGCTGAAATTTAGGCCAACGTTCAACGTATTTTTCACATATCTTACTATACGTTTTGCAGCAGTCATATGAACAGTGGTAGGTGCCTGGAGAAACTGACATACTTTGTTAACAGCAAAGGAGACGTCTGGTCTAGTCAGTCTTAAGTATTGAAGTGCACCTACCAGGCTTCTGTATTTTGTACCATTTTCTGAACTCAGAGGCTCTCCTTCAACAAGGGACAATTTTTCTGTGCTAGATAAAGGAGTGGGTGCAGGCTTACAACTTTGCAAACCAGCCTTTTTTACCAAGTCTGTTGCATATTTTTCTTGAGAGAGGTGCAGGCCATCCTTGTGTTGCTTTACCTCAATACCAAGAAAGTAATGTAGATCTCCTAGATCCTTGAGAGCAAATTCTGCACTCAAATCCTTCAACAGTGCAGTTATTGCTTCATCAGATGAGCTTGTCACAATTATATCATCAACGTATATGAGAACAAATATGGATATACTTGATTTGTTATAAATAAACAATGAAGTGTCAGACTTTGAAGAAACAAAACCAAGTGCTTGCATCTTCTTACTGAGGCGAGAATACCATGCTCTTGGGGCCTGCTTTAGTCCATACAATGCCTTGTCAAGTTTGCACACATGAAGTGGTGCATGTGTGTTTACAAACCCAGGTGGTTGTTTCATGTAAACCTCTTCTTCTAGAACACAATGGAAGAACGCGTTCTGAACATCTAGCTGATGTAGACTCCATCCCCTGGACACGGCAATGGACAAAACAAGACGAATAGTAGCAGCTTTTACAATTGGACTAAACGTGTCCTCATAGTCAATACTATGCCGTTGTTTAAAACCCTTTGCACCCCAGGTACCCTAACTTGCACCCAATGTGATGATCTAGTCCCAAACTTGCAAAACTAGACCAACTCATACCCCAACTTGCAACCAATGTGATGTTTTAGTCCCAGGCCAATCATAGCTCGCCAATTGGCTGCCAAGTGGCCGGCCCGGTCAGCGCCTGTAGTTTTGCACAAACCCCCCTGCCGTTTCACTCATTCAACCCGCAGTACCCCCCACCTGAATTAAATCTGTCGAAGGAATCGAGCTCTGCTGGTCCACTCGTTCCCCATCTGCCCCCTTTGCCCCCCGCGGCTCCAGCATCAGCTTATCCACGCCGACAGCAAGCTCGCCACCGCCGTCCAGCTCACCGCCGCCGTCCAGGTCGCCTCCATGGTATCTTGGAGTGACGGATCGAGCTCGTCCTCCGACGGCTACTCTGTGACAAGTGAGGTTAGTTCTTGGCTATGTCTCTGGCAGATAGGGATTGAGCAGAAATGTATGTTCTTGAGTAGCAAAAATGTATGTTTGGTGACAAGAATATGTTGTATGTAGGCTCCTGCTCCTGCCACCATTTTCTGCTCTGAGTGGACAGGCCTTGCTCCAGATATTGCAGCTAGATGTGAACACCAGTGTGTGTGTGAGAAGTTTGTGTGCTTTGAATCAGTTGACAGTGGAAGGAGGTATCTTGCTTGTGCTCAAAAGGTAAGTAGATCTACCAAACTTGCAATGTGTCATGTAAATGTGGAGGAGTTCATTTGATCTGTATAATAGTGTGCCATGTAAATGTGGAGGAGTGCATTTTCAGTTAAGAGCATCTAGTTTGTGAACTTAAATTAATCCTTTAGTTAACAGCATCTTGTTAGTGAACTTAAGTGAATTTCAAATGAACTATCAGAACTTAACTTAACTTAACTTAATTGAAATGAAATAACAGAATTTAAATGAAATAACAGAACTTAACTGAATTAGAATGAAATAGCTGAACTTAACTGAAATTAACTGAATTCAAATGAATGACTGAATTTAACTGAATCCAAATCAAATGAACTAACTGAATTCTATCTTATTTGTTAGGAAATACCTAAATGCAAGTTTGTGGAGTGGATTGACCCTGAATGGCCAGACACTCTGAAGATGAGTTTAGCCAGGGTTTGGGCCATGTATGATGATGAGGTAAAGCTGAGGCTCAGGGAAAGTGTAGTTCTTGCTGAAGAAAATTTTAGGGTTGTGAAAGAGAAGGAAAAGATGGCAAATGATCTAAGGTTTTTTAAACTAGATTTTGCTAAGATGGTGGGTGACAAGGAGCAGGCAGTTACTGAATTGGGCAATGCAAGACTTGCTCTTTCTGACCTAAAGGAAGAGCTTCAGAAGAAGAAGATGGCTGATAAATCTACCACTAGCATTCATCAGGTTGTGAGGGCTAAGGCAGAGAAAGAGAGGGATGAGATGAAGCAACAGATGGAGAGCATGAAGGAAGAGTTGGACAAAGTGGTGTCACAGAGGGATGAGCTGAAGAAGGAGAAGAAGAAACTAGAGTACATGATTGGTGATCTATTCAGGCACAAGGAGGAGACCAAGAGCAAGATAAGGAGGGTGAAGGAGATCTTAGATGAATCTGAGTAATTCATTGTTGGTGCAAGTTGTATTAGACTGAATTTGTATGAGTACCCAGGTTATGTTGTTGCAAGTTGTATTAGACTGAATTCGCTTTTAGTTAAGTGAATTTGTATGACTGCCCCAAGTTAATTGAATTTGCAAGTTGTATTTCATTTGCTTTTACTAAACTGAATTTGCTTTTAGTTCACTGAATTTGCTTTTAGTTAACTAAATTTGTGTGACTTACTGAATGACCAGTTCAGTGAAGATTCAGTTACATGCAAACTCTAGTAAAAATGTCCAGAATTGGAACTAACAGAGAATAAGTAGTATAGATTTAGTACATTGCACTAAGAGTTAACTGACTCATACATAGATAGAACACTGAC